TGCAATCCTAACATGCTTCCCTTTGTCCCCAGTTACCAGGCAGTGGCCCGAGGCAGGCTGATACCATCTCCCCTCTTCTATATTATGTCCCCTTGCTTGTTCACAGGCTCCATTTTTTTCCAACCTTCTAGAGTTGGGCTTCCTTGGCCTTCCATTTCCCTTGGGCTGCCTGGTCTTTGCCAGAAAACTCCTTTTACTTACCTCCCAGTCACGAGCCCCTGCCAACCACCAGTGGCCACCTGTTCCCACCCAGAAAGGAGCAGATAGGGCCGGGGTTACACTCCCCCCGACTCCTCGGTCTAACCACAGCCACTATAAAGAAAGAGAATAGGGAGAGGGGAGGAGGGGCCAACCCAGAACCAGAAGGCACGGGGAGAGGGAGAAAGAAAACAAAGAGAGGACACAGCTTCTGGGAGAAGAGGTCACAAAGAACGGGCACAAATAAACGCGACAGTGCCATAGAGCAGGTTGGAAGTCTCTGCTTGGCAAGCCTCCTCTCCCTGGTGGACTCACCGACGTGGCAATGGCCATGGCTCTGGCCTCCAGCGTCGCCGTCGTCAGTCAGACCAGGCTCAGTTTCGCTGACTTCAGCGAGGGCTGCCCCTCACCATGGTTCCCGGCCTCCAAGCCAGAAGGTCACCCCAAGCTGTGGCGCTTGACGAGTTGCCTCCCCCAAAGTTGGAGGAAGAGAAAGAAAACCCACAAAACTTTCCAAAAGGGAGGCAGCTTGGCCAGGCAGGAGGAGGAATTGGGGCGGGCCTGGGCGTCGCTGCGGGACCTCATCCAAGGGGCGCGATCTAAACTGTCTCCAGGGTCTCCCGGGGGGCACAAGGCCCCCCACGGCTGTGGCCTTAGGCTGCAGAGGCCTCTTGGCCACACTTGGGCCCAAAGCTCCCGTCCCAGGCCGGCGAGGAGGCAGGAGGCAGGGGTGCGGGCTCCCAGTCCCTGCTTTCGACGCCTCTCTCCAGGCAGCTCAGGCTAGCCCCGAGGGCTGGGAGAAGCTGCCCGAGCGGTTGGGCCGGACGAGCGACTCCTGGGGCCAACCCTCCCCCCCGCGGCGCAGAGCCGTGCTCCCAAGGACTGTGGTCGCGGCTGCCGGGGCACTGCGGCGGGACCCACGGGGAAGGAGGAGGAGGAGCGAGAACTCCACTGCGTGGCTCCAAACTCGCCCAAGTCAGCGCCCAGGCAGGCCGGCCGGCGCCGAAGGCCCAAGAGCGCGTGGCGGTGGAGCTGGCCGCTCTGCCCAGGCCCGCACCGAGGCGGGCTCCCCCGGCCACCCTTCGTTCTCAGTACTGCCGGGTTTCCGAGGCGGCCGCCAGGCACCTCTCGGTCCCAGCGCCCATGGGTGCGCGCCACCCTTTGCCCCGGGCACCCAGTCCCCGCTCACACTCCCTGGACCCGGCCCCTCGGCGCGCCCCGAAGCTTAGGGAAGCTCCTGGTTATCTTGGGGAACGAAGAAAAAGGCCACAGAGCCAAGGGAGCAGAGAAGGGGAGGAGCGGTCCTTGTAGGCTCGCCTGGGGTCGGGGTGCGGGCACTGAGGGCTAGAAGAGGTCCGGGGTCGCGCGTGGCCCCGCTCACCCCTCGCACACCGCGCCCCTTCCCTCCCCTGTCCGGGCTCCGGCTCCCGGGGACTCAGCACGCTCTCCCTCCTCCCCCGCGGGCCCACTCCTCCCTCGGGGTCTCAGTCCAGGGGATTAAGAGAAGGGGAAGGAGGGGGAAGGGGAAGCTGCGGAGAAAGGGGACGATCCTTTCCGAGGCGGTGTAGAGTTTCAGCTCCCGACCCTCGGGCCAAACGGCACGCCCCAGCCGGGCCCCTCGTCCCTGCACCTCCGTCCTCCGGACCAGCGCGACCGACCGGCGGGTGGTCTGATCTGCGCGCTCGGGGGAGCTCGGCTCGGCCCGCCACGCCCCCGCTCTCCCCCGCCAGCCCCACGCCTCTCCCTGCCTCCCTTTCATTAGCCCCACATCTGTCTTTCCCCCGGGAGGGACTGCGCTGCTTCCGCCGCGCTGGGCTCCTGGCGTTTTTCACCGTGGCTGACTTTGCAGCGGGCGGCGCGGGGGCGAGCCGGGGAGGTCCAGCCGGGCCCAGGCTTGGAGTCTGGTGTCGAACAAAGATTCCGGCCCTCGAGAGAAAACGTGAAGCCTGAGCGCCTGGCCGCAGAACGCAGGCTGGCCGGTTGCGCCGCCTTTTAGCCTCCTTTGCCAGTCTGGGCCTGTTTCTCTTCTTCTGGTTGGCTCTCGCTGCTACTGGAGCCGTTGGGGTGGAGACCGTGGGCAGAACTCTTTCAGAGGGCCTGGGATCGGGACTTTCAGCTGAACTCGATCTCTTTGCCTTCTAAACTCTTCCTGCCGGCCTCCCTCCAGTCACCCCTCTTCTCTGGCCCTTACTTTGAAGAGATACACATCAGAGCTTCTTGGAGGGTTGAGAGAGCCCTGTCTTCCTTCTTCCATTGGAGCTGGGGTGGGGATGTTCCTGGTATTTGGAAAGCAAGCTGCTAAACAGAGGTGGAAAGCTGTAGTGTATGCCCAGTGTTTACGTTTAACAAATGAACGAAATAGCGAGCTTAGTCGTAACCTCTTTAGGAGAGAGCATCTGAAATCTTATTTAAGGACCTTTGTGAACGGGAGGCTTGGAGGCCACTCTTCCTCCAACGTGTCTCAGTGTTCCACAGGCTTACCCACGGGCACTTCCCAGGACCACCCGTGGGGAGGGTGTTTGCCCCAGCCCCTTTTCCCACCATACTCCGTGGAACCCTCTGCAGAGGGGAGAGGTAGCATTTAGAGGATGGCTCAGTGAGAGTTTCCGGAGGAACCCAGCATGAACGGTGATGGCCCTGGCCAGGCTCAGCAGCGGTGCTGGAGTGCAGACCTCATGCACTGCCCGGAGACCTTGAACATGCTCAGATTCCATTAGAACGAAAAGGAACTTTAAAGTGTCTAAATACATCTGAAGTGAGAGTTCTCCTATCCCGTTTCTAGTGTGACTGGCGGTGGTCGCTGGGAAGACTTTCTGTCCTCCAGACTCCAGTCTCTGGGGGGAGATGATCTAGCTTGGCTGCCTTGGCATGATGGGGAGTGACAGGGTTTGACCTCCTTACCCAGGGTCACCAGTACAAAACAAAGGTGGACGGGGGGGGGGACACTTTGGTCCCCAGACATAAGTGCTCGGATGGGCATAGAGAAATAGACACAGGCTAGAAGCTAAGGAGAAAGGATGTGAATGGTCCAGGGAAGGTAGTAGTTTGAGCGATGGGCGGGGCTCTCAGTGCCTCAGGAATGAACATAGGTAAGGGGCAGCTTCTGTATTGGGAGGGAGTCCTGGCTTATTAGCCATGTTACCTTGGTCAAGTCATAGACCATCTTGGAGTTTGAATTCCTCCTTGCTTTGGTGAGGAGAACACGGATGGAAAGTGCCTAGCACTTTGCTTTTCTTCAAAAATAGCGAATTTTCTTCGAATAACAACTCTTTCGTGAAAACAGGATGTTCTTAGTCCAGGGAGTGGGAGCCTTTCTTCTGCCCTCTGAAGGTACTGGGGAATTCAAATAGGAAGAGTTCTGGCCCCAGGGTACAGACAGAGGAGAAAACTCCGGGGCTGAAACCTTGCAGAGAGCAGCCTCGTGTAGTCTCGTGCCAAGGTCTGCCCTGGCCACATTCAAAGAGTAGCAAAGGAGGAACTCTTTCCTGCCTTCCCAGGCCCAGCCTTCTTTTCTGCTCTTCTTCCCAGCAGGGTCCAGCCATCTTCTTCCCTCCTCGTCCCACCCCACCCTCCTCTTCACCCCTAGGTTTCCATTCACATTGCCCTGTGTGCGTCTGAAATGTGTCAAATGCTTACTCAGCTCTCGGACTTTGCTTAGGCATTCCTTCCTCCAGACCCTTCCTGTCATCACGCCAAAAAGGCTTTCCCAGAGTCTCTTCCCACTGTCTCCCGGCTCTCACCTCCACAGCAGCTCTGTGCCCTCCCTATACCATAGCACTGTTTCGTTTCTTTTTTCTTTTTTCTTTCTTTTTTTTTTTTTTTTGGTTTTTCCAGACAGGGTTTCTCGGTGTAGTTTTGCGCCTTTCCTGGAACTCACTTTGGAGACCAGGCTGGCCTCGAACTCACGGAGATCTGCCTGGCTCTGCCTCCCGAGTGCTGGGATTAAAGGCGTGCGCCACCACCGCCCAGCTCTTTTTTTTTTTTTTTAATTTTATTTATTTTTATTTTATGTACATTGGTGTCTTGCCTGCATGTATTTATTGTCTATGTGAGGGTGCCAGATCCCCTGGAATTGGAGTTACAGACAGTTGTGAGCTGCCATGTGGGTGCTAGGTATTGAACCCAGGTCCTTCAGAAGAGCAGTCAGTGCTCTTAACCACTGAGCCGTCTCTCCAGCCTCCCTGTTTCGTTTTCTTCTTGTGTTTTCTATTATAATCTGAAAGTAGGGTCGACTGTCTTGTCTTCCTCTTCATTTCTTTTTTTTTGTTTTGTTTTTCTTTTCTTTTTGGTTTTTCGAGACAGGGTTTCTCTGTGTAGTTTTGGTGCCTGTCCCGGATCTTGCTCTGTAGACCAGGCTGGCCTTGAACTCACAGAGATCCACCTGGCTGGGCTTAAAGGCGCGCGCCACCGCCGCCCAGCTCCTCTTCATTTCTCACACTTACAATGTCAGCGACTGGTGTGTAGTAGACGCTCAATAAATGTTTGGTGAGTGGATGAATGGACATAGGAGCTGTGAACATAGGGCAAAACTGAGCTATCCTCGGAGAGGTGCCTTTCCTGGGTCCTTGTCTTCTTCATTGGCCAGCTCCGTGTGTTTCCCAGATCTTCTGAGCTTAATTGTCCTGTAGTTATCAATTGTACTAAAAATAATTAGCGGGCTGGAGAGATGGCTCAGCGGTTAAGAGCACTCTTCGTGAGGACCTGAGTTCAATTCCCGGCACCCACATCAGGTGGCTCACAACCATCTGTAATGCCAGCTCCAGGGGGAATCTCACACCTCTGGCCTCTGGGCACTTGCATTCATGTTGCACATACACATAATTAAAATCATAAAAATAAAGCTTTTAAAATAATTAGCAGCCAGGGCCATTATCACCTACAAATCCGAATGTGGGAATACTGTTCCAGAGTCTCCATCTTTGTCCCTAGAGAAGTGTGGTGAGGATGCCCCACTGCTAAGAGCAGCACTAATAATCCATGTCCTAGCTTCTTATGAGTAGAAATGAGCTGAATCCCGTGGATGCTGCACTGTCTTAGGACCTTAGGTCCAGGGCAGCTAATCTTCTAGGTACCTCTAAGGTCACTCACATCAATGTCACCCCCCCACCCACCCCCAGGTACACATATACTATACCACGTACACTCTTACCAATGAGGAAGGCCTTGCGGAAGGATCGTCCAAGGTCATAAACAGACTAAATTTCAAGGCAGCAGGTAAGGGCACCAGTACCCTTTTGATAAGTTGTGGGGTAGTTGTATTTGAACTCACTGCAAGCACCAAGAGCTTTTCCAAGCAAAGGATAGAAGTAGTTCATCCCATTTTCCCCCTGCCCTTTTCTGGCAGGCGCTGACCTCTTTTCTCAGGGACACAGGGGTAGGAATGCCAGCCCTGTTTGGCTGCCAGATCAGTCTCAGGCAAGTAGGGACGTGTTGGGAGGGTGCTCCTAACGTCAGATGTTGGGCCACCCCTTCCTTGCTCCCGCCCCCAAGGAGTCTCCCCATCACCACCCCCACACCCCCCAAGGATTCCCTGGAAGCTGAAATGACTCAGGGATTCCAAAACTAGTCACCCCAGGAGGAAACCCTCTGGAAAATGTTTCTCATGGCAGGGAGTCACCCTAAAGAGTCCCACAAAGCTGCTAATGAGATAAGGCCAGAGGCTGAGCAAGCAGGGTGGGGTGGGGGCCTGTGGCTCAGAGAATAGGTTCATGGGTCAGTCTGGTCATCACGGTACAGGGAAAGCCAACCCTGGGGAAGACTGTGTACTTAGAGGGATCTTCCATCTTCCTTTCAGAGGTTTCCTCTGTCCTGAGGTACAGAGGTAGAGAGAGACCCCAAATGCCTCTTGTGAAGAACAATGTCCCAGTCACCCAGGCCAGTTCCATTCTGCAGTGTCAGCAGTTGAGACAAGAAGCTGGGATCATTTTCAGTGCCTAAGAGCACCCCCTTGTGCACTGTCCAGGGTCTGCTCCCTAGGGCTCTGACTGGGGGAGACCTGTAGGAATCCGGCTCTTTGAAACAGCACAGGCTAGCTAAAGGACCCTCTTCTGGGCTTGGGGTTGCTAAGGAACACCACAAGCCACCTGAGGCCATGTGCCAGACAAAAGCCTGAGGAACAGGAAGCTGGAACAATGGATCCCAGCCAGCAGGGCTGAACGCCCAAGTGGGCAGGAATGCCCTGTGGTCTTGGGCAGGTGCAAACGAAACCGTCCAGCACAAGTCCAGGTGAACAGGGACACATTCACTGTGGGGGGCGCCCCTTCCATCCACAGCCAACGGTGGATTGGCTCCTGCTAGGAGCTTAGGATTGGAGTTATTGAGGGCTGGAACGGAAAACCAGCTCAAGAGTCTTTCTAACTTCGTAAACCTTGGGTAAATTATTAAATTTTGTTGGGTCTCACTTTCTTCATCTATAATATGAGGATTATAGTTTTTATGTCATAGTTTTGTTGTCAGAACAGAATAAGATGATGTGATTAGGGTTCAGCACCACATCTGGCACACTCAAGTGCGTAGGAGCAAGACCAGCAGCGTATATAGGGAGACGGTATCCAGGAGCACCGGGCCAAGGGTGGGTGTGGGCATGGACTGAAGATATTCCTGGCCTCATTGCTCTTCCTAAGTGTCCTAACCCTGGCCACCAATGGTTTCTCCTCAGTGCCTCCCATTGTTCCATGCCCCAAGAGTCACCAAAGCAGTTTCTTCCAACTCTTGAGAATGCCCTCTGTTGTTATGACACCTCTTCTTTGAGGCTATTTTATGGTCCTTTATGCTGTACACTATTTGGTTCCCTTGGTTACTTCATGAGTATTTTCTGAGGGAAAGCACATGCAAATCACTAGACATTATTCTAGAGACAGTGTGTATGAGTGTGTTGGGGTGGGGCAGAGAGGTCTCTGGGCAAAGAGAGGAAGTCTTGCCCCCCCCACCAGAAAACCCCTGCGTAGGCTTCCGGTAGCAGTGCCTGCTGAGGGTTGCATCCTCATCCCAGGAAGAGGTCAGGGAAGGTCTAGGGACAGGGATGGGGGCAGGGTAGCAAACTGAGAGGCAAAGGGACATTGGGGGCAGTAATGGACAGTGAGGGAGAACTCACGCTCACAGATGATGGTGCTCCAAAGAGTCGGGGCCATCAAAACGAGGAGGGGCCCGAGCACAAGGGGAGGGAGGGAGGTCAAGAAGATCCAGAGGAGGGAAATGTTCGTCAAGACAGGTGACCAGGGACATCAAGTAAGAAGAGGGACAGTTGGAGGCCAGGGCCTAGGCAGGAGTAGCAGAAGTCTCGAAAATGGTGCCTCTGGAAGGGAGACCAGATGACATTCTTTGACTTGAAGTAGTATGGCAACCAGGGAAATTCCCATCATGCCAGTTCACAGAGACAGAGACAGAATTACAGAGAGCTATTCCTACGACCCCCGCCCGGAAAGTGCAAGGAACAAAGTTTGCCCAATCAGCTGCCAGGCTGATGATGATGGCCATTACAGCTTCCATGAGGGTAGCACTTAAACAGCTTTTGGCAACACTTCCGGGTTTTATGCTGTTGGAGTTTTTTTGTTTTTTTTTTCCCCTTTGGTTTTTTTTTTTTTTTTTTTAATCTCAGGTCACTCCCTCCAAAAGATAGTGGAAATAAATTTGAATAAACAAAACAGGTTTGCTGAAAATAAAACCAGGACACCTCCACTGCTCCAGTCAGCCTGCTTCCAGAAGGCCTGTGAGACAGGGTAGTACCTGTGGCTGAGTGAGCAGTGTCCGGCATGTACCAGGTGAGTGGCCCTGATGTCTGGCAGAGGCCTGGCTGAGAGGGAAAGGAGCAGGGATGGTACTGAGTGTGTAGGGAAGCTAAGCTTCCAGGTTTCTGGTCTCAGGGAGCTGCCAGGGGAGACTCACATAGGATGGAGACCTGAGAGTACCTTTCTCACTGGCCTTTGCTTATAGGTTGCTGCATTCTTGGCTATGATTGTGGGAACCCACATCATCAGTTCGGAGACCCGGAATGACTGTAGTCATTGGCCCAGCTGCTGCCCCAGCAAAGAACAAGACTCCACTCAGGAGTTGCTGACGTGGAACCCTGCATCTACGTCTCCCCCAGAGGCTCTGAGTCTCACCTACCACCCAGAATCCTGCAAGGCCAGCAGGGATGGACCCCTCAACAGGAGGGCCATCTCTCCTTGGAGCTATGAGTGAGTCTGCTACTTCCTGAATGTGTCCTCCAGGGGATGTATGAGGGACCCAAAAAGTTCCACTCAATTTGACCTACCAGCCTCTTTTAATTGGACAGACCAGAAAAGTTTAGGAGTTACACAGGCCTGAATTTGAGCCTCAGCTTTGTCCTCTTTGCATTATGTTGGGTGATGTTTTTCAAGTTCAGGCTGGCTTCCTTCCTTCCTTTCTCTAGATTACATTCTAGAGGCTAATATATAGATCAAACGAAACAATGTATCTAAATCTTGTATTCATGTTGATTCTGTTTCTTGTTTGGTCTGTACCATAACTCACATTTTTCTAACTAAAGTATCAAGCAGCAGTATGCATTGTAGACACCAAGGACCACTATGCCAAACGCTGGCACTCAGCTCTTGTGGGGCAGGTGGGTGGCTAGATCCCTAGGCTTGTTATTTTTTTAGATTTATTTATTTATTATGTATACAATGTTCTGCCTGCATGTAGGCCTGCAGGCCAGAAGAGGGCACCAGATCTCACTAGAGATGGTTGTGAGCCACCATGTGGTTGCTGGGAATTGAACTCAGGACCTCTGGAAGAACAGCCAGTGCTCTTAACCTCTAAGCCATCTCTCCAGCCCAGGCTTGTTATTTTTAATCAAAAATCATGGTTCTCTTGTTTTTTTATACCATTTGTCACCTAAGTACTATAATTCTCTATTTGTGTCATGATATGAAATTGGGATAGAGAAACAGAGTTATTACAAATTAGGGTCCTAGGGATCCTGAACATGTTTCTGCAGTTCTGTCTTTTCCCAGGGTTTTCTGTTTCCACTCCTCATGTGTCTCAGTTGCCTAGCTTTGCCTTCGAGGGATGTGGAGATGTCCCCTGGCTCAGGGAGCCCGTCAGCTCTAGCTGGTGTTATGTCTAAGACACCAGTTCATAATACTTTGGAGTAGTCTCAGAGGCTGCCTGGAAAATCTGGCGGGGGCTCACCTGTACCCATCCTCTTCTCTGAGGGGCAGTAAACCCTGATAAGCACTTAGCAAACTTTCTCCAACCCATGCTCTGTACAACACGTGTCCCACAAGCTGTTTCTCAGACAAAAAACTAGGGTGTCAAGGGAGTCTGGGAAACACTACACAGCTCCACCCTTCATAGTGATCTCCGTGCATTGAAGTTGGCAAGAAATCGACAAGAAATAACCATTAGTTTCCCCTGAACTTATTTGATTGCAGAAGCTTTAAAAACAAACGTACAACAAAAAATCCAGGGTATTTATTATGGAATCTACTCTGGGAAACACTTTTAGTAGCTGGACCCCAATTTCCCAGAGTTTGAATAGGAAATGGTTCTAGTATATTGAAGCTTCCTGCTAGGTTACTAGACACAATACTTTTTTTTAGTATCTTCAGTAGTTGGGTTTTTTAAATTTTGTTTTGGCCTATTTTTTTTTTTTTTTGAGACAGGGTTTCTCTGTGTAGCTTTGTGCCTTTCCTGGATCTCACTCTGTAGCCCAGGCTGGCCTCAAACTTACAGAGATCCACCTGCCTCTGCCTCCCGAGTGCTGGGATTAAAGGCGTGTGCCACCACTGCCCTGCCGCTGAATAGGTTAAAAATCCTTGTTTATGTCCTAAATGTGCTTGTACTATATGCTTGGACGGCATCTGGAAGGGTGGATATGGAGCAGCGCTCCCTGGGAAGTAAGACCCATGAAAGGAGACGGTCAATGTTTGTTACACGTCTTTTTATGCTTGGCTTTCAGGCAGTTGGAGGTTTTTTTTTTTTTTTGGACACAGGGTCTCTTTCAGTAGCCCTGCTAGACTGGAGTTCTCTATGTGGCACAGGCTAGCCTCAAACTCATGGCACTCTGTGCCTCAGCCGGCTTCTCAAGTGCCAGGATTACAGGCATGTACCAGCATACAGGCCTCACACCAGCTTTGGAATAACTGTAATTTTAAAAACCTCACAAAAAACGTATAATACCTTACTAAGAAGCTTCGTGCCTACCAGAGAGATGCCGGGCTGGTGTGCTGGAGGCTGGCAGGATGCTACTCACCTCCCTCTGCTTTGGGAAGAGGCTACCATGGCTATGGCCTGGCATTCAGGGCCACTAGGAAAGCTGCTCTTTCGTCCCCTACTTATACTCTAGTGGGAGGAAATAAATCTGAGAGACGAGTGGGGTGGCATCCGAAGTTACTCAGTATGGGGTGCCAGCACAGATTTAAGAAGTCGAGTCCACAGCCACACCGTTCTCTCCCGGCAGCTTCTCCACCCCATCTGCCCCTTGCTTCCGGCTTGTCCCTCCAGAACTGATCAGCTCTGTTTCTACAGGTTGGACAGGGACTTGAACCGGGTCCCCCAGGATCTGTACCACGCAAAATGCCTGTGCCCACACTGTGTCAGCCTACGGACGGGCTCCCGCATGGACCTGATGGGCAACTCAGTACCCCTCTACCACAACCAGACGGTCTTCTACCGGCGGCCGTGCCACGGACAGCAGGGTTGCCATCATGGCTACTGCCTGGAGCGCAGGCTCTACCGTGTCTCCTTGGCTTGCGTTTGTGTGCGGCCCCGCGCAATGGCGGCTTAATCACGCTTGCCACCTACCTGAGGCTGATATCTTGCCGCGGTGGGCCAGGGTACCTGAATGCTCGAGCCCTCCAGAGCCCTACCGGAAGCACCGGGATCCTGGGACGAGACGGAGAACTTGGGGAGAAAACCCTGACTTTTGCACTTTTTGGAAGAACTTTGGGGAAGGAGCAGTTGCAGCCTGGGGCTGCTTGGAGGATGCTGTCGTGGCATTTCCTCCTAGAGAAGGTCTCCAAAGGCCTGCCGGTCCCTGGGAGCTGTGCTACTGACTCTCCCTTCCCTCCGGATTCCCCTGACCAGCACGCGCACTTTCTCTGTATTTCCCCCTTGGCCCTTCAATTTGTTGGCTTGTGACCACCAGCTCTGTGGGCAGCCAGGTGTAATTACTTTGACGCGGATAATTCTGAGGAGGAAGCTGTTATTGAACGCGGAGAGATTTGTCCAAAATAAACATCTGTATTTAAAAATGCTCGCATCTGCCTTTGGCCCCCATGGTACCTGAGCACCCTGTGGTCCCCAACTGGGTCCTCCTTCCGCTTCTAGCACACTCTCCACTCTGTCACTCTTCCGGGTGTCCATTGCAAACACCCGTCCCCTCCTCTGGTCCATCCCTGAGCATAAGGGTGTGGGGGGGCAGACAGCACAACATGGGGAGAGACAGAAGCCCATTGAGGCACTGCAGTAGGCACACAGCGCCCCCTTGTCTCCCCAACAATCCTCCTTTGTCCTCAGGTCCTGGCTGTGGCAGCCTGGGCTGGACTCCAGTTCCCACCTCCCTTAAAGGAAAAGAGAGAAAGGCCCAGCCAAGGAAGGGGGCTAAGGCTATGGGAGGGGGGCTTACATGTCTTCAGGCTTTGGTTACCGGGGAGCTCCTTGCTCTGCCTCTGTCTCTCTCGTCCCCAGACTCCTCTGGTCTTCCCCCCATCTCTTCCCCTCCCTGTTCCCTCTCTCCTTCTCCAGCTTGGGTTAGACTGGAGGAAGAGGAGGGTTAACCACCTCTCCCTCACCCCCTCTCCATGCCTCCTAAGGGCCCTGCAGGCAAGAGCAGAGGCACTCTGGGCAGCTGGGGGAGCCCATCTGGGCGAGCCTCCCCGAGGTACTGCCTTCTCCCAGAGTCCCACCGCAGGCCCCAGCTTCACCGCGCCGCTGTCTGCTGCCCCAACCAGATTTCTGTTTCCTTTCCTGGGCTGCCTGGTGAGGGGGGGCCTGCGCCCTGTGAGCCTCACAGACATGTTCAGTGCTTGGGATCGCCGGGAGCGGCCCCCAGAGGAAGGAGCAGCCGCAGGGCTCCAGGGCTTCGGTGTGGACAAGACCTTCCTGTCTTCCCTCAAAGGCATCCTGCTGGAAACTGAGCTGGTAACAGCCGCCTCCCCAACCTGGTGCCTCCATCTCTCCCGTCCCAGCTCCCTGGCGCAGGCCTGGGCTGGCCTCCTGGGCTGGCCTCCTAGGCTTACCATTTCACAGGCCCCTTCCTAGGTCCCTGTCCTTCCACTCCCAGGCCTTCTTCCTTCTGCAACTCTTAGCCTCCCGGCTGCTTCCCTCTGGAGACAGTTACAGCACACATCATTTGCTGCAAGCCTGAAGTTAGATGGAAAGATAGCTTTCCAGGATACTGAGGGAGTGAGATGTCGGCAGGGAGTGGGGAGAGAGGATGGACAAGAAAGCGGCTCGCCTGTCTCCCTCCAGCTGCTGGGGCTGCTTCTTGGCATGTCTAAGTTTAGGTATCCAAAAGGGTAGAGTTTCTGCAGCCATGCTTCATCTGTCAGCTGCGGCCCATGAACCCCCAGGCTCTCCCTGGTTCTTGAGCAAGATCGCAACGCCAACATGGGGCCTCTTGCCTATCTGCCGTCCCGTCTGCAGGAGGCTGCTGCCTCTCTCAGCGTGGAATCAAAGGCTCTGGCTCTTGTCATCGGAGTTTTAGCAGCCTGGAGTAGGGAAAGCTTTGTGGGGCAGAGGCGCTGACTGTGGCTGGCCTCTGTGGTGTGTGCACTGTGTTCTGTGCTCCAGGGGACGCCCCCGGGGGATGTGCAGATTGACCAAACATCTGGAGTTGCTGGGTTTCCTGGGATAGCAGGCGGGGGAGGATGGAGATGTCCTTGATGGTCCCTGACGCCAGGAATGGGACACTTCCTTGTCTTCATTGAGAACTCCTCCTTCTCAGTGAGGCTGGTTAACAAGAAAAGACCCCCCCCCCCCCCCCCGCCTTGTCTACCATGGCCTGATCTATGCATGGGTCTCCTCAGACAGCGCCCTGTGCTTGGTCCCACAGGCCCTGACCTTCATCATCTTCATTTGCTTCACGGCCTCCATCTCCGCCTACATGGCTGCCGCGCTGCTGGAGTTCTTCATCACGCTCGCCTTCCTCTTCCTCTATGCCACCCAGTACTACCAGCGCTTCGATCGGCTTAACTGGCCTTGTCTGGTGAGGAGCCTGCCTCTCCCACCCCATCCTGGTCTCTTCCTTCTTCTGATTGCCCAATTTTCCTGTTGTCTCATGACTCCCCTTCATTTCCACAACCAAGCTGTGCCTTGACTCACGTTGTGTCCTGTGCTCGAAAGTGAACTTTGGCCCATCAGAGTGCCCCTGTCAGGAAGGACATACAGACTAGCCCTGCTCTCCCACGCATCAGAGGCTTGCCTCAGGCCTGCTCCATTTGGCTCTGCCTCCTGGCTGATCTAGATTGATCTGCTTCCATCCTCTGGGTAGTGTTATGAGCTCACTCCCTTGGAAGCACTTCACACGTGTCTAGGGGCCACCCCTGGGCAGGAATTCAGTCTCTGAGGAGCAGACTGGGAGAGCTGACTAGCTTGGAAAACCTCCAGGTAATGAGCCCCACACCCCACTGCCTCTGGCTCCCCAGGACTTCCTACGCTGCATCAGCGCCATCATCATCTTCCTGGTGGTCTCCTTTGCTGCTGTGACCTCGAGGGAGGGGGCCGCCATTGCTGCTTTTGTGAGTCCGTCCCTGCCCTGATCGCCAGCCCCCGGGGACTTGTGGCCGGGGTATTGACACACTTCCTGTGTCCAAACCGAAGCCTGCATCTGCTCATACCTCATCCCCCCACTTCTCCCCAGCCCCACTCCCCTAGGTGACAGCCTCTGCTGTGGCACCCCCATTTCTTTCTTCCCCGCAGGTTTTTGGCATAATCCTGGTCTCTGTCTTTGCCTACGATGCATTCAAGATCTACCGAACTGAGTTGATGCCCAGGACCACTGAGGGTGAGTGTCTATGCCCTCAGAGAGGAGATGTCCCTACCTCTGCCCCAGATACTGTCCTCATGCATGGTTTCTCGGCCTGGCTGCATCTCCACAGGGGACCAGCAGTGATTCCAGGGTTACCTGGCTCCCACGACCAGACACAGGAAGTGCAGAGCCCGGATGTGTCCCCTTTGGATTCACTGAACCTCCCAAGTGCCCAGCATCTACTCCACGTCTATAGAGATGTGTGCTTGAGAAGTCCCAGGGGAATCTGTGAAAAGTGATGCCATTCTGGGGGTCGGGGTAGGTTGCTGTGCCTCCAAGTCATTCTCAAATTAAAAAAAATCAAATTCTAGTGGTGGGTCTTCTTCTTCCTTGAAAATTACACAGAGTAAGGAAGCTGAAGAGTTACTCATGATATATAGGAAAGAGCGATCCAGAGAGCCAAGATCCCTCTGTGGGGTGCGGGTTAGATTGAAGAGGCTGAAGACGTATGTCAAAGGCAAAACTTTCTACCTCAGCCTGACACATCAGAGGAACGTGCCAAAATGCCATGTGCCAGGCTGCTCGGGAGTGGGATGTCTAGGTTTTCCTGATGCTTACAACCCAGCACACCTGTTAGGCATGGGCTGAGGTCCTTCTCTGGGGCTTGTGTAGAGCTCCCCCTTGTGGTATGGTGAGGGCTGGGTGGGCAGACTATAGGGAAGAGGACAGCCAAAGGTCTTAGGAGAAATTCCTAAAATACCAGCACCTGAAAGAAAAGCTCTTAGCTATGAGCTGGACACATGCCCTCGTTCTGTATAAGAGAAAACTGGGGCTTAGTTAGGGGGAAGTGACCTCCTTATTTGCAGTAGAGCTGGGTCTAGGACATCTTGACGTTGACACAGAACTGTCTCAGATACTGTTTTGAGTTCTTTTGAAGCTCTGAAAACAAGGGCCCATCCCGTCGCCAGCGGACCCACTTTCCCAGCTTGCCACTTCCTAGGAACACATTTCCTGAGTGTTTCCTGTCTGCGGAGCCTTATGCTTGACACCAGAGATTTAGAGGTAACAGTTGGGCCTGAAAGGGCAAATTGGCTTGGGAAGGAGTTTGAGGATAGACAGTACTTCTCCGCCTGGCTGGAGGAACCCATCATGTTCCATATAAGTGGTTCCATTCCAGCTGACTTCTCGTCCACTCTTTTCAGTGCTTTGTTCTCCTGAAATGCCTTTTCCCCTCTAGGATGGGCCTTTTAGCGTGTGGGCTGCGGCCTCAAGCCTGTGTCCTGGGTAGTGTGGTGCCATGTTTCCCTCTGATGACTTTCTCTTGAGTAGATTTCTCCTGCCTCCTGTTTCCTGTCTTCCTATCTTTGTGTTCTGGAACCTCATCAGGCCAGGCAGGTGCTCCAGGGAAGGAGCCAACCGAACTTTGGGTTTCCCTGGGTTCTACTCCTGGTTCTCAGGCTTTCTGCACAGTCTGCACTCGAGTCTAGCTGACCGCCATGGTCAGGAAGATGGAGGTGGGGTGGGCATAGTCTCAGAGGAGATGGAAAGGCTGGGCTAGGGGAGCAGGGAGAAGAGCATGGGAAAGGGGTCTGGAGAACCTTGCCCAAATTCCCAGAAGGGGGCATGGGTTTGCATTCCAGCAGATCTCAGCTCCCTCCCCCAAGCAGCTGTGTGTCTAGTCTGCCAAGAAGCTGGGGATGGGGCCGCTGGACTCGTACCCAGCTGTGGGTCTGTACATGCACCCGTGTATGTCTGTGTGAGGGAATACAAAGCGAGGACTGTCCCTGTTTGGTCCATACCCCACACTGATTTGGGCTCAGCATTATCTGGTACTTGAATCCTGGAATGTCTTCATGGTGAGGCCTGATTCACAGAGGCTAGGACTGATGTTGGGGGTGGGAAGATACGCTCTGTGGGCTCCATCTAAGGAGCCGGATAGAGTGGGGCCTCAGAGGTTTCCCGAGCATCCCACAGCAGTTTCCTGCACTTCCATCCACAGCACCCTCTTGGTGTCAGTGGGGAGTTCATTTTAGAAAGAACACAGGGCCCGGAACAACTCTAATTTCTGCCAGCTCAGGGGTGGAGCGGCTGAGGACGGCTTCCACCTCCGCACCAAACTTCCATGCCCCTGTGTCTGGAGTCGGCTTGCCTGTTCAGTGTCTCTGTTCTCCCTACTCCTTGAGGGGGTTGTTGTTTTGTTGCTTTGGAGGTCGGGTCTCGCAGTGCCCAGGCTGGCTTTGACCTTGCCTTCTAGCTGAGCCTGCCTCTTGCTTCCACCTCCTGTGGCCTGCTGAGATTACAGGCTTGGGTCCTCGCACCCGGCTTTCGTTTCTCCCCCACTTTTGAAAATTTTCCGTTTCTTGACTTGTGCAATTGACAGCGCAGAGCTGGGACCACAGCTGTGCTCCCTGAGACGGGGCACCTCACTTCTCTCGTGGTCTCTTCCTCCACAGATATGGGGTGCTTTTGATCCCACAGCTCTGACACTGAGGCCGTGGCCTCACCACCCTCCTCTGGGGCCACCAAAATTCCCACCTCAGGTGGACAGCTGGTAGAAAGGACGACGGGGACAGGAAGAATCGGGTATCTGTGTTTATTGTGGGCTAGCAACAGCAAGGTTCTTCAGGCCGCATCATTCCTCATCGTGCATTTTCTGCTGAGAAAGGAATAAGAGGCGTGAGGGCAATGGGCAAAGTGGTCTGAGGAGGAATCCCTAGAGCTTTCAGTGGCTTTAGGAAGACGCCCTTGGAAAGGGGGGCATTTAAACCTCGGGGATCTTGAAGTCTCATGATAGGGATGCTGGTTGTTTGGAATACAGATCTAGGGCTGCTGTGAGTGGGAGAGTGGATGCTCAGATTTAGGTGTCTGTGAGACCCTCAGGTTGTGCATATTGCCTATTCTCCAAGCCTAGATGTATGTGGGATATACACATAGCTGTTCAGAACATCGTGCATGCAGGGACAGCCTGGTGAGAGCGTGACTAGCAGTTTCAGGGGAGGGACCCACCTTGGCACCAATGTCACGGCTCTTGGCCCGCAGCTTGTTGACCTGGGACTCGGCGATGTCCGCCCTCTCCTCGGCCTCATCCAGCTCATGCTGCACCTTGCGGAACTTGGACAGGTTGGTGTTGGCCTGCTCCTCCTAGGAGCGGATAAAAGCGACGGGAGGATGGGGTGAGAAGAAGCACGGACTCCCAGAATCTCACGGTCCCAGTCCCTGATCAAGTATGATCACATACTTCCTACAGCAGCCCTCCCAGGGATGTCCTGCTTGGTACCCTCCTCAAACTTGTTCCGTGCTTGAAACCCCTCACGGCCACCCACTGCCTGGAATGAACCCGTGCTGCCCGGCACAGGTTCACCCCCTCAGAATCCAGATTCACGGCATCTATTCCAGTTGGCCTCAGACAGATGCCTGTGGAGCCGGGAGTTTTCTGCACAGCTGTGCTCATCCACACCACACCCACAGGTTGCTGTCTGCCCAGATCTCTTCTCTTTTGCTTTGTGTCTAGTTCGGCTCCCTTTCAGCCCCGGTTCCAACTCTTGGCCCTTTCCTGTCCTCTGCGCTGTCTCTACTCCCTCACGTGGTCTTGACTGGAAGCAGCTGGTGGGCAGACGCAGGCAGGACACACACCGCACTGATTTTTTGAACCTGGGGTACTAAATCCAGCTCTGCCTATACCAGACATGCAGAACACATGGCTGAGCTGTAGGTTAGAGCAGAGCCTTGTCTGGGCCCCACGGTGGCGGCTACTCCCTGGCTGTCACCAGCAGGTGTGTTGATCAAAGAGGGAGAGCAAACTATCAACTCACCGCCTCCTCAGCCTGGCGCTTGTAGGCCTTCACCTTCAGCTGCAGCTTGTCCACCAGGTCCTGCAGCCTCAGCAGGTTCTTCTTGTCCTCCTCGGTCTGGAGGTGGGTGGGAAGGAAAAGCCAGTTTTGGGGGAGAGGAGCAAATGCGATCATCATCCCCTCCTCCCTCAGCCTGGTCTTCTCCCCAGGCCTCAGCTGCTTCTCCCTCCAGTGGCTGTCAAGGGGGTGCGGTCTCTCTTTGTAGGTCAAAGGGAATTGTAGCCGGGGACCCACAAATTAAAGAGGGTTGGGGTGCTGTGAGGGGAGGTTCTCAGAGCTACAGGGAACTTCTTCATGTGGTCATATGGAGGGTTAGGGTCTATCCGGCCACCGTCTGGTAAACAGAGTTCCCCTTGCAGCAACATGGACACTTTCGGCCAGTGGTTCTAAGGTGACCAGTGGAGGAACAGTAAAGAAAGCAAAGGAAGAGTAGGGTTATCATTGTCTAGATTATACTAATTAACACAGCCCGTTATTCCAGCACATTCTCCAGAGCCAGAATTTGGGCAGCAAGGTCAGCGGCTCCAGTGACCCTTGGTCATTCCTGTCTCCACGTCATTTGAGGTTCTAGGATGCCACCACACTTTTGTCCACAATAGGTAATCAGTCTTTACCCTGTGCCTCTTGTATCCCCTTCTTAAATGGACCAATGTACCCATCTCCTTCCCAGAACTGAGACTAGCAGGTCAATGGTCAATCTCAGCTGTGCAGATGGAGTTCAGACACTCTGAGGTGCTGTTCTAACGCCTTGGCTTCCCTTAGTTCTCCTCATAGTTACAGTTACACAGAAGATCTCTGTTTTCTCCTGTGAACTGACTCTTGTTCCTAAAGTGCCATATGGCGTTTCTTTGTGTCTGGCTGGCACAGGGTGGAGGGACTCTTTGGACTAGTCAGAAGCTTTCACTGTAGTACTTTGAAATACTAAAAAACCTGGGGAAACATGGAGTGAAATAGTTTTGGGGAAGTAGGGGGTCTCCATTTCCTGCAAAAGCCCCTGGGCTCAAGCTGAAGTGCCTCCAGAAACTGCAGAGAAGCCTCTAAAGGTGGCTGGCATTAATGAGTGACAGCCCAGCACAGCAGGGCCCTGTTTGAGCCCAGAGGTGGGCCGGTAAAGCCCGCCATCTTGATCTGCCGAACCTGGTAGGTGAGCTCCTTGATGCGGCGCTCACTCTTCCTCATGCCCTTCACAGACTCCGCATTGCGCTTCTGCTCAGCCTCCAGCTCATTCTCCAGCTCCCGAACCCGGGCCTCCAGCTTCTGCAGCTGCTTCTTGCCGCCCTTGAGGGCGATCTGCTCTGCTTCATCCAGCCGGTGCTGCAGGTCCTTGATGGTCTGCTCCATGTTCTTCTTCATGCGCTCCAGGTGGGCGCTGGTGTCCTGCTCCTTCTTCAGCTCCTCCGCCATCATGGCGGCCTGTGCACGGGAGAGGAGGGCACGTGGTCTGCTCAGGTCCTCGTGGGCTCACTGTGCAGGCTGGGGAGATGCTGGCCTGGAGTGGGTATGCAGGGGAGGGGACTCACATCTGTGATGGCCTTCTTGGCCTTCTCCTCTGCATTCCTACACTCCTGCACGGCCTCTTCCACCTCAGTCTGGAGCTGGGACAGGTCTGCGTCCATCTTCTTCTTCTGGTTGATGAGGCTGGTGTTCTAGATATGAATAGAGAAAAGTATCAAATACACACCTTTGTGGGAGGCCAGCTCCCACCTTTTAAAGGGTTCCTATGAGGAGGAGAGAGGAATAAGAAACTTTTGGATAGAAAGATAGTGGAGAGGAGACAGACAGAAACACAGGATAGCTTTGGGAGGACCTGGATCAAAATCCACCGGCCCCTTCTGTCTCTTCAAAAGGGCTTTTTATAACAATGCCAAGGGGCAGGGCAAAAGACCTCCCCTTTGCTAGATCAAAGCCAACTGCACAGCCAAGTGTAGACCCTTCCAAACACATGGTACCCCAGTCCATGGTCAAATCATCTCCTTATGCAGCCCTGCTGGGTAAAGCAAACTCCTTGGATCCTGAGTAAGTTCTCACTAGGGGACCTCTATGAGTCTTTACATACTTTATTGCTTGGTTCCGTATTTTTGTTCAGAGAAAATTAGAAAGGGTCATTGAAAAGAAGAAGACGTTGAAGAAGAGGGAGCAGCAGCAGCAGCAGCCGCCTAAGGCTGGGGAGGTGTCTCAGTGAGGCACCTGCCACCAAACATGAGGACCTAAGTTCAGATCCCAGAAGCCATGTGGAAGCGGGCATGGCAGTGGCGCACATCTGTAAGCCCAGTGCGGGGAAGCTTAGAGACAGATGAAGCTCGTCAGCCTGTCCCGCCAGCTCTCCCTTATCTCAAAAGATAAGATGGAGAACCGTAGAGGAAGACGCCCATTGTTGACCTCCGGCCTCTACACACGTGCACACGCAGACACGCATATACCGCACAAATAAAAATTAAACAAGCCTAGCTTTCAGGATATTCCTTACTTTTCCTTTCCTTATGGGAATGGATATGGTCCAGGAAATTACTCAGCTCTGAAGAAAGGCTCCAAACAGCCCAAGGTCTGGAGTTTCACCCTTGAGTGCTTTAGTAATATGTTTGTGTATTGGGACAGGGCAGTGTTCCCGGAGAAATGGAAAGATTTTAAGGAAAAATAACTAGAAATGGTTATAATTAGAGAAAAGTGTACCTGACTAAAGAAGAGGATGCAGTCAGTCAGTGGATGGTGTCCTTTACACATATGCTGAATCATGAAACAAAAATCACACCCACAAGACATAGCAATAGTTTGGCACACTCATGTCGAGTAGAACCGGATACAATGGAAGTGTATAAAGTGGTGTCCTCCCCACAGTTTGCCTGGCAGGAAGGTGAGTTATGGCTCTTCAAAATGTTTTTTTTTTTTTAAATCTGGGTATATGTGTGTGCATGTGTGAATATACCCATGTGAGTACAGGTGCCCACAGAGGCCAAAAACATCAGGTCTTCTGGAGGCGGAGTTATAGGACATTGTGAGCCACCTGACTTGGGTGCTGGGGACCAAATTTGGGTCCTGCAAAAGAGCAGTAAACACACCTGACTGCTGAGCCATCTCTCCAGCCCGAGCTACATATCTTTAAATTCCCTAGCTCGTCGGGCGGTGGTGGCGCACACCTTTAATCCCAGCACTCGGGAGACAGAGGCAGGCGGATCTCTGTGAGTTCGAGGCCAGCCTGGTCTACCAAGTGAGTTCCAGGACAGGCACCAAAACTACACAGAGAAACCCTGTCTTGAAAAAAAAAAAAAATTCCCAAGCTCCTGTCTTTACAAATCAAGCTGGAGGCTGCCTTCTTAATCAAGAACATCAGGTAACAAAATGCAGTCCATGGCCCCCAGATTTGTGACTCACAGGCATCACCACTCAGTCACAACATACTTCATTTCTGAGCCTATTCCTCTTCAAGATACTAGTTCTCTTAGCTGCTACTAACAGACTAGAGTTGACCCAAGAAATGAGTTACTTTGCAATCCTGCTTGACTTGCTCTAAAATTATCCTGGGCTCCGACACCCAGTGGGTTTCTGCACAGGGCACCCCCTCACCTGGGAGTGCAGCAGCTGCACCCGCTCACTGGTCTCAATCAGCTCCTGCTCTGCCAGCTTCCTGGATCGCTCGGTCTGCTCCACCACAGCCCGCAGCTCCTCCAGCTCTGCCTGCAGCAGGGTGTTGCGTCTCTCCACGATGGCGATGTTCTCCTTCAGGTCGTCATTGGCGTGGAGGGCATCGTCCAGCTGGAGCTGAGTGTCCTATGGAGAAAGTGTGAAGGGAAAGGGCCTAGACTCCATGCCATCAGAGCCTCCCCTTTTGGGTCTGGCACACCCCACCCCACCCCATCCAATAGCCTCTTGTCAACAGTAAGATAAGTACCTATCTCATTATTCTCTAGTCCTAGGCTAGACTGGTCCAGAGCACACTGTTCCTCACACCTACAAATCCAGGAGGTATGCGGCTCCTACTTTCTCATATTTGTGATTCCCTGTCCTTTTCTATCTCTCATTCAAGTGTGATCCAAGCCCAGCCCTGCTTAGCTTCCAAGATGGGACAAGATTGGGTCAGAATGATATGGTCCTAGACCTTTAGCATCTTTCTGGACACTCATACTCACCACCTCTGAGACCCTTGGCCCCTGTTACCTTCAAGTGGGCTTGGGAATTCTTCAGGTGCTTCTGGGCCTCTGAGGCTATTCTATTGGCCTGACTGAGCTGGATCTCCATCTCATTGAGGTCGCCCTCCATCTTCTTCTTCACCCGCAGGGCCTCATTGCGGCTGCGCGTCTCTGCATCCAGGGAGGTCTGCAGGGAGTCCACCACCCGCAGGTGGTTGCGCTTGGCCTGCTCCATCTCCTCGTCCTTCTCTGCCAGCTTCCTTTCGATCTCTGCCTTGATCTGGTTGAACTCCAGCTGGGCGCGGAGGATCTTGCCCTCCTCATGCTCCAGGGAGGCCTGGAAAGCGGGGGAGGAGTCAAAGGTGGGTAATCAGGGCTGAATTAGGTGGGATGTCGGGGATGAGAGGATGACAGACTTTAACCAGGCTGTGGCCAAGAAAGGAACCTGTGCTGACAGGCCCTGTACCCAGACTGCTGTGGGAGAGCAAGTACTGGACGCCTAGGGCTCCTCACTCCTGGACCTTCCTCTGAAAAGGAAAGAATTTGACTTCTCAGTCACCAGACCTTTGGGACTAACACAGCAGGAGTTCCTGACCCACCAAGGGAAAAAAAAAAATCACAGAAAAGGTTTATGTTTCTGTAGCCCCAGTCTGGGGCTGTCCCAGCTTCTTAGCAATGCACAGTAACAGCAGCTAATATTTAACAAGTTCTTGACTGTGTTATCTCGCTTCACCTTCATAATAATAATCATACACACAATCTTATGAGGTGTGTTATTAATTCCACCTCACAGATGAGGCCAGCAAGCCACACGGACGGTCTCATGCCAGGTTCAAACCCAGGTCCTTTGGCCCTGGAGCCTATGTTCCTCCCCAGCTGTGTGAGCTGTCGTTATGATGGCCAGATTCCAACTGGGAAGCAAGGCTTCTGCCCTGAAATCAGACCGTGGCATTGTCCGGTGTGAAAGCCTTAGCTTTGGAGGCAGTCATGGTTACTGGGTCCATGGTCTTCTACTAAGAACGGGAGCCAATGGATTTTTGTCTGTGGGTCAGGGTGACTCCTGTAAGGCAGGGCTCACAGTAGGACAGACTGGAGAGTGCAGGGAGAGTCAAAGCCTCACCTCAGCCTCCTCCAGGGCCGACTGCAGCTCCAGTTTCTCCACCTCCAGCTGCTTGCGGATCTTTTCCAGCTCATGCACATTTTTCCCCCCTTCTCCCAGCTGCTCAGTCAGGTCTGAGATCTCCTCTGAGGATCAGAGGACCAGAAAGATCAGTATTCCGGTGCTGCCACGAGGTCCACCTTTCCCTGCGGCCCTTCCCCGTCCCTGTGGCCCTTCCCCGCCCCTCGGCTCACACACCCTGAAGGTTCTTGTTCTCCCTCTTAAAGGTCTCCAGGTGCTCCA